TGCGCTGTATCGCAAACTTGCATCATTGGCCCTTACCTCTTCGAAGACGGTAATGGTCGTGATGTTACCGTGAACTCAGAGCGCTACGTCGACATGATCACCAACTTCTTTCTCCCTGAATTGCGACGGCGACGTGTTCCAATCCGACGTGTGTGGTTCCAGCAGGATTAGGCGACCGCCCACACGGCCCGAGCATCCATGGACGTTATTCGCCCACTTTTCCCTGGTCGCCTTATTTCCAGGTTTGGCGATGTTCATTGGCCTCCTCGGTCCCCAGATTTATCCATATGCGATTCTTTTTTATGGGGACACCTCAAGGCGAACAAGCCCCGAACTCTGGACGAATTGAAGGGCGAAATTCGCGTGGAAGTCGCCCAAGTTGAGAGAGCGATGTTGGAGAGAGTCTAAGCGAGCTTCCAAGAACGCTTCCAGCACTGCATCAAAGATTTCGGCCACCACATGCCTGATGTGATTTTCCACACTTGACTGTCTCAAATGCTATTTCCTAGTGAACCTGATTCCATCAATAAATTTGTTTTCGAGTAAAAATTAACTATTTTATGATTTTTTTAAAACCGTCCATCCACTCTGCCGCACCCTGTATAAGTACCTTTCACATGTAGTTTATAGAATTTGGCAGAGATTTTCCGAGATTGAGTTATTTCAAGAAAACTATGTTTTATAACATTTGCAAAATTATACTTTTTTTCCCAATTAACTCAAAATCAAAGGAAGACTGCTGAATTTTGTATACTGCATGTGGAGGGAATTTATATTAAAAAACCTTTTTGTAATTATTACTTTTTTTAAATATATCTTAAAAGCCGCGATAGCCAATAGACGCGAAGCAAAGTATTGATGTATTCTTAAGATCGTTAATAATTAAATCAATCTCCAATTACCATTTTAATGGTAAATTTTGGGCGAAAATTGGTTCTAAAGGCCTACTCTACCAACTTAGAGACTCAAGAACAAAATTCAACTCATTCAGAGCGGTAGGTTGTTCCTTTCGCTTTACGAAAAAAAAATAATAATAATTTAGCGGGTTTTTTTGATTCGGAAGGCATTCGAATTGTCAGACGAAGAAAATTTGGAAAAAATGTACTAATTGAAATAAATGCCGAACGAGTTGACAGATCGCATTAAAGGTTATTTTTAATTCATTTTTCGGAAAATTTCACTTTGGAATAATCACATAATACCCTGCGACAGGGATATTACGTAAGTAACCTACATAATGGCAAATCGGTAAAATGTCAACTTTTGCACTAGAAGCCGCTATAAAAAATGTAAGTAGATTAACTCTGCACTTCCCACGCAATGCCGTCATCAGTTTATAAAGTATTATGCACAGCATAAATTAGACGGCGTGGTCAGAGCATAGGAAACACTATGTGTTATTTCAAAAATCATCAGGATCCTCTTAAACGTCAAAAACGGAATTTTATTCTTTGTCGTTTTTGGCCTATTTTTTGCCATTACTGGACCGATTTTCAAAACCACAAAGCTTTTGCGTCCTTGGCATAGTAGTAATATTGTGTAAAAGTTTATTGAAAATCCAAGGAATACTTCTCAAGTTACAGGCAGTTATAAGATTAGTGAACAGACCGACAGAACGACATATATCGAACATCTCACTTTCGAAAATTTTCGCGATGACATTATCGTTACACCTTTGAGGCAATATTTCTCATCGTCTTGTTTTGCTAGGCCGGACAACGGTTTTTATATTATAAGGAAAATCGGCTTCACAATAATTTTTTGTAGAGCCATTGTGAATGCCGCGTAAGAATTCGTAATAGTTAATTTTTGTCATAAGTCTGAGCATTCCATCTATATGTTGACTTTAATCATGAACATTGTTGCATTTTTAGCAATGGTAACAAGTATAAGATTTTTTGAATCAACTTCTAGATGTTCTGGTATCTTTTTCCTAATGCTCAAAGTTTTATGTGTGACATACCAAATGTATGTAGATCCGTTAACATAGGATAAACATAGGATGAATAGGCACCGCCAAACGTATTCCACCTGAAGATACCCAATTAAAATAGGTATTAGAGAGGCATTGATCCCAGCGCCATCTATCAAATGGAAGTCAGAAGCAGAACCAAATACTCTTTTCAAAGTAAATAATGGGTCAAAACTAAAATTCTACGACCTGGCTTGGCATATCTCAGATCGGGGTCATTTTTTTCTGGAGAACCTATGGAGGCATGAGGCGTTGTAAAATTTCAGGGTCCTAAGTCGAATGCTTCATTCTGGAGACGGGCTCAAATTTTAAAGGTACGACAAGAATGTGAATTTTAGTGTATCAGCAACTTTTCCATTTTCTCGCTACTCCAGTCATTGGAAAGCATTGGGCCCCAAAAATTACCTCGAAATTGCAATACGATAATTCGTTTCGCAGATATTTCTGTAGGAATTGATTTTTTTCAAAAAATTTTACATCTTTTATCTACCCACGCCTACTGGCGGGTAATTATTGTAATAATTTGCGTTTACCCTATATAGATGATAACTATGTTGTTTTTATATCGCTACATTGCTGCTTGTGCATTATTTTGAAATGTTTTATCCGATACGAACGCATTACATCTTAAACTTGATTAAATGTGAATATAAACGATGAATATACAAAGCCACAAAAAAGTATCCCGATGCTCAAGACATGTTAAATATCCTACTGTTCAAATTGGAAACTGCGATTTACAACTGTATAGGAAATTGTGTATGTATCTGTTATTCAATTTTTAAGCCACTCCATAAAACTTGGCAACTACGCATTTTTTTAAAAAACGTTCTAACGAAAGTTTCAGGATCTCAAAATAGTAATTTGTCGATTCTCTAAAATATGACGTAGACCATTTTTGTCAGCAGATTCGGGTAGACCTTGAGATTCAACATCCGCGTGCATGCTCAAAAATGAGGAAAAGCAGTCATGATATAACCTACATATTGACCTCAAAGGTCATTTGGAGGCTGAGTTCGTAAATTAAATGACTTTCAGATCACCTCTGAGGTTATTATATAGATTGACGTCACCGATAAATTGTTTTTTTGATATCCTGAAACTTTTGTTAGGACTTCTTCACAAAGTAATACGACGTTGTCAACGGTTGTGCTAATTGGACCACTTATGACCCGCTTAACCTCATTGTGCAAATGCATCTGTTGCAGAATCTCAAGCGCCTCATGAATGATGAAAGATGACACAGGGGCAGAGGCTGTAATAGCAGCAGACAATCAAGAAGAAAGTGCAATTTGAGCTCTTTTAGTTATAGAGTAATTAAATAACTAATTCAATGCATTTTTAAATAAGTTTCATTAAATTTAAATAGTAAACAATTTAATCTACCATAGGTGTCTACATTTTCCTAGCAACTGCTGCTAATGACGTTTTTACATGAAACAATGTCCTAGAAACAAAAACAGATATAACAGCTTTGTAGTCAGATACGCTTTCACAAAAAGTTATATCCTGCCTGGCACCCTGAGAAAAAATCCTGAGGTCGCCCATGCGTGCAATTGAGTGCATCCACAGTCTCTTTGGGAGGCCATAGTATACAATTACAAACATATCGTGGTCCTTAAAAATGAGATAAGATTGTGTGTTTTTAATCTAAAATATTTATAACTTATTGCTTTGTAATTAATCATAGAGTATCTAAGATGAGAACATTATTTGGCTTTTAAAAAATGACGCATTAGCGGAGGTACTATTATGAAGAAAGCAAAGCACGAAACATATCCACATTTGTTTGTTAGCAGCGGCGAAATCGGTACAGTCCGCTTTTTCCTTCGTTGAGTGGCCGAATACGATGGAAACTATTGATGTATCGGCATTCCAGCAAAATACTGAATAGATGATTACCTTTCAATTTTGTAGTAACGTTTCATTCTCCCAGAGTTCTATTCGCTCAATTTTTTTTGTAACTATTTTCTCATGTAAATTAAAACGTCGGAGACCACGATTATGAAATTTCAGACCAGTGCTTCAAAAACGTAAACATCGATACAATCAACATCAATGTGTGAAACATTTCGATACATTTGTTTATAATAGAAATTAAGATGGAAAATTTCAAATTTCCCATAGGACCTCTTGTATTACACAACATAGGGTGATTCAGGAAATAGGAATATTTCTAAAGTATAAATTAGATCCAAAAATAACAAAAAACGTAGGTTCCAATTTCTCCAATTTCCAAGTAAATTTCTATGCCATTGATGATACTAAATAAGGAAAAAACATCAATATTGTTTGAATAACGCTCCCAATATAAACTCGACTAACTTCAGTGTATTTGCAAAGTGGTACGGGGCTTTTCTGCAGATTTTACCTCAAATATGCATTCCATTTCTTTTCCAAAAGAAGTACTCTGAAAAATATTTCTGAAGAGAGAGATAACTTTCTTTTTTTAAATTTCCTATTTTCTACGTCACTGGTGTGGTGTTAGACATGAAACTTTTTGTATGTATTGTCTATGCTGTTTCAATATCTTGACACACACCAAGATATATTTTTTCGATTTCGAAATTAAATCTTCAACACCCTGTATTTCAGTAAGGGAGCATTTTAGGACCACTGTTTATAAAAACTTTTCCTATTACTTTTGGTCCTTATTTCTACTACAGAAATATTGACTTCATGAATCACCCGGTAGATGTTAAGGGATTCGGTTAAACACAAAGCTATCGATTTCATATTCCATTCAAACTTGGCAAGAACGTGTGCCACTAAAATGGCTTGAAAATATGAATATTTCCGTTGGCCACACAACCACACACAACATGTCTAGCAGCAACCAACAATAATCTTCCATTTACAAAATTGAAAAATATAAAGAAACGTTAGTAAGACAGAAGCCAGCTGTTTATCAACTTTCGAGCTAAGTATTTCGAAAAATTAGACGGTAATATTTTAGTTTTAATTGAAATATTATCAAACTTTTCATGAGAGCCCATATAAATATATAAGATATTCTCTCAGGAATAAGGCCATATATTTCACTCATATCATTACAATGACTTGAAAATAAAAAATTGCAGTCGTTTTTATAAGTTGAGTCCTAATGCAAGTACTACTTAATCATCACAGTTTTGTCATAAAAGGAAAACAATATTTTAATTCAAAATATGAACTCTTGATTTAGCCATATCTAAATTACTTTTAAGGGTCTAAAAGGTCAACATCTTCGTTCTTAACATACTCATTTCTAGGCCAAATTGAAAAACAAAGCATGGTGAAAAAAGATTGATAGAGTTACAACTTTGACCCGATTGTGGGTTAGGTACACACATCTGTGAGTCATTGTATCGAACTAATCATATAAATAAAGACCGATATGACAAATTTCTGCAGCAATAAGCAAATACCGTCATTGAAAACCGTAGCTTATCGCTGAACTGATTAAGCGCTGTAACCCAACAAAGAGAATGCAAGCACGATCTTAGTCCCCGATTGACGGACGACTGTGTCATCATAAGATTGTTTGCCCGCACTATCTCAATACTTCAAAATCTGAACTTTGTATCGACAGAAGTCGATAAATTCTCACTAAGCTGGAGGTGTACCCTTAGTCTATTTGGTATACTGGCAGTAGAGTGATCAAAGTGTAGTAGTTTTATATTTGGGTACTCTCTTAGAATATCAAGGTAAGCTTTGGATTTTATTATCAATCACAATTTTATGAACTAATCATAAAGGGTTCATCGCGAAAGAGATTATGGGTTGATCTGTATGACGCATCTAAATTGAACCTAACGATAAATAACTTGTAGGTCTACTCTTAGTCTATTTGATATACTAGGAGTAGAGTGATCTGAATGAGTAGTTCTAGATTCGAAATATTCCGTTAGGAAATCAAGGTAGGTTTCTGATTTTATGGAGGGTATTTTATGAACAGAAGGGAAAAGGGTTGATCGTGATATAGATTGTGGGGAGAAATTTTTTATGCGTTCAAGATGAATAGAACCAAATGTATAACATGCAATCGTTACTTTATCATCAGACTAGTATAACCTTCCATTAAGAATGTTTTGGAATCAGAGAGATACGAGAAATATCTCAACAATTACCAAAAATATCCAAGCAACAGTTACGATAATGGCAATCAGATCAGTATTTATTAGATCCGATGAAGTATATTTTTCAGTTTATTAGAATACGGTTTGGTACTAGATAATAATACAACTTCACTAATGCGTTTTGTTCATTGATTTTTTGAAACTATTTTAAAATTAAGTGTTTAATGTTTCAACAACACCTACAATCAGGGACTATGTAATTATTTTCATCAGCCGTTATCTATCGCTTCCTTATAAACATGATGAAATAACAAACTCAACGCCTCTACTACTTTTTTGAAGCTCTTAATCTTATGAGAAACCTCAACAAAATAAAACCGTCCTAACATTTTACATCTCGTATGTTTTACAGTTACTTCTGACAGATTTTTTCTTGCATGAGCTGTATCTCAACTCATTATTTGCAAGGAGTTGGCTATCTTTTTTGAGCTCTAGGTGCTCTTTCAGCCCATTACGCTACTATACGGATCTAATTCTTTCTAATTCAAAGTGATTCAAAAATAGTTCCTATGGCACCTATAGTATGTATTTTCCAATGCGTGAGGAGGTATTGCCCAGACTTTTTTCTTCAATGTTCAAGATTAAAGTCAATACATATCATACATACCCATAAAAGGAGTTGGCAGTTACCTTTTTGCATTCGTACAGGGTGGACTCAACTCTCTCTCTTTCAACTACTAACATTCGGTAATACTGTCTAGAGACATTGCTATGTATAATTTTGTATGTCTTTTATTACTTACTCTTTTATACTCATTTTATTCTCATTGATCATGCACTTTGTACCTACCTATTGAGATAATGGATATATTTAGCTTTAGTGGTTGAAGATATACTAAAAGATCTAATTCGTATGCCTGCTAACAGTTGTGATACAAGGTTTCGCGGATTATAAAGTCATGATATTCTTTCATAACGGCACTGAAGATAAAATTGCTCGTTGCCACTAGGCGCTCAACAGAAATTCATGTTATAGGTACAGATGAAAAAAGAAATTACTTGGAGAAAATGCTTTATTGCATTCTCTGACATATTTATGTGATTAAGGACCGTATCGTCAGTCGTCCCAACAATTGTAGGGCGCCTTTATGGCCTCCTTGATTGTCATAGTTTTCTACTTTTCCGTGTCAGCGCTCTATTTTGAGGTTATGTCACAAACATCTATTTACATCAAATTGTGCTTGCTTTTGAGTTATATCATGTTTTATCAGCCTGAAATTTCCTACAATTTTAAAAGAAAACATATCTTCACAATAGGAGAGCGCTGACGCTGACACGGGACAAGTGTAATCTAGAAACTTTTGAAGGAGAGAAAGGAGTATGATAATCAAGGAGGCCATAAACGCGCCCTACAATTGTAGGGACGACTGACGATACGGGCCTTAATCCTCAAAGCTCTGCCTAGATTGCAAATTCAATCCCTATATATGAGATGCTGTTTTTATATTCTTCTGGTCCTAAAATTCAACACCTCTTCTAGATTGCGTGGAAATAAGTATTTCTAAGACAAAAATGGTGCTACTGAAGTGCTGATCCTCGATTTAACAGATTTCGGTCGGTAGTTGAAGATTACTTAATAGTCTTTGTAATGACTTCACAACAATCACTCTATATCGTTAACAATCGATTACTGATGTCTCAACATTTACTTTGAGAAGGTTATTGCATTTGCTGCGGAAACTTTTCGGAAACACTTTTGTTCTTCAAGTAATTAACTAATTGCTTACTAAGCTTACTAATTGATCATAACTAAATTTAAAAAAATGAGTTGCTGTGTCTTGAATAAATATTGTATGTAGAAACTGATCAACAACAAAGTTCAGAGCTTTTCTAACAAACTAGATAAATATATGTACATATGTTTTGGTTCTTATATTTCGATTAATACACAGTTTCAGTGTATTGAATGTGAGAGAAAACCATCACAAATATTTTCGTGATAAATACTCGAAAGATACTAGTAGTACTTGATATTTGAACCAGTCTAAATAATATTGATATAAATTGGAAAGTTACTTAAGCTGCTTCCAGATTTCAAGTGGATGAATGATATCGAACAAATATGAATTTATTTTTAACCATTTCCTTTTTAGGTTCAATGCGTTATCAGTTTTCGTTACAATGTTCTATTGAAAGTTTGTTGTTTTTATATATTTGTGATAAGGACAATTTTATGAGATCATGATGCAAGTGCCCACTTGGCAGGATCCACTTAACGGTCTACTCAATATGAATTGTTTGCTGTTTTCGTATCGTAATTTATAACATACTATAGGGTACATCTTTTGGATTCCTTTATCGCTTGATTATGAAATAAAGACCAGTACTTTAGGATCCTGTCTCTAAAGAGACACTGGAGAACCACGGGGGGAAAATGACTAGTGGTAAGGGTTTTGAGTTTCACAATAGTTGTTGCTCAGCGATAAGGTCATTAATAGGTCATTATTATGTGAAGTCCCCATCTAAGCTTATGACCTTAGCAGAAAATGAATTTAGAAAACTGGCTGGAAAAGTCGGTTTGGTCGTTGGTCATTTGAAAAACTTAATACGTTGAGCACAAGTAGGTAAAAAAACTGATGATCGCCATCACATACCAATGGTTCTTTTGCTTGGCGTATGCGCTATGTAGTCCAGATCAGCCTATGTCTCTTAATGCATAATGTGCATAGAAATCCTTGGCCGATCGATACTTGGAAAGTACTGCTCGGATTTTGGTGACATTGTCACAGAGTGGAAGTACTATACCAAGAACGAAAAATCTGTTTAATTTTTTTAGAATCGGTAGGCGAGGGAAGAAAATAATAAAAATCACTGATTGAAATCATTTTCAGAAATAATTGAGAATTGAGATTTTTAGGGGGTATGGGAGAGAAGAGCCCAATTTTTTGGCGTTAGTATATTAATACGCTTCTTGCCCCGGTAATATCACGCACCTATTAGACGTATTTGGCACATAGACTTCTTCGCATATTTGCCCTTAAAACATAAAATGATTGAAATGTATCAACCCTGCTCGCGCTCAGTGGCAATGCAACGAAAAGGCGCTGCCATTTTATAGCTATAAACTCAAAAAAAGGAGGAATTGTTATCCAAGGTGTCAAAAATTTGCCTATGAAAAGTCATTAGTCGGTATGGGCTGTAAAATATATTGATATTCCTTATTCTATTTTTTTGATTTGCACTTTTGAGCTTCTTAATTCTAAACATAATATGTGCCTTTCCACACATAATTCAGCAGACTCAATGTTGTATACAAATTAGTTTATATATCTATTGCGTATTTATTTTTTTAAATATGTGCAAGATCGGAAATATGTTAAAATACAAAAGAATCGTTGCGCAGAGTTAGCCTACTTGACGCCATTTTTTTATACATAACAATAGACAATATTCTCCTGTCTTCATATTTTGTTCAAGCGTTGTCAAGCTGTTTCTCAAAGAAGGAACAAATTTGGGCTTTATGCTTCTGAGCGTCTTATTCCATGTGTTTTCGAATCTTATTATGACTTTTATCTAGTATGGTATATGTCACTGTAACTCATTAACAGTCGCTTTTTCCATCAACTGAATTTGACAAAAAAGTTGAAATAATTGCTGTTTATTCCTAATAATTTAACAGCAATAAAAACGTATTTGTGAAGCAATTTTTTAGATTTCTTGAGCTTAATGAGTTACCGCAGTAATTCTTACGTATTATGGGTATTATAAAAGGTTGATATTATTCATTATTTTTGGATAGTACACACTGATCCACTAGGATCAATCTTGTGTTGAAATTTGTTGTACGTGAAACGCGTTACGACTTATTGCGCGCTTCACCAAGTAAGATCACCTACAATCTATAAGTTTAGAACCAATATATCAATCGGTTTTTCAGTTTGTTGTCATTTTTGTGACCCCACCTGATCTTTGCAACCTGGCTGATCTCCGTGGTTGAGCTGAAGAAAATAAGGCTCTTCATCTCTGACGAATGTTCTGGAGGTTATCATTGCTTGGAGATGCAAAAATTTGGTGCAGTACCCAACCGAATGTAACTAACAATACACACCCAAAAGCATCTTTCACTTTGTTGAAATCTATACATCGAGAACTAGTCGGTATGATCGCCCCTTTGTCCTTAATGTGTTAAGACTGTGGAACAACTTGCCTAAAGAAGGTTGACCGTAGTTCTACTAATCTTAGATATAACATTATATTTTTAATTTCACCGTCATTCTGTATCTAAGCGTTCACGCTCGCGGATGATTCAGTATATAAAAAATGGTGTCAAATAAGCTGACTGAAATATATATAATATATACGGGGGGGCGTACAGGTACAATTATTCCATAGTACTCAGTCATTACCATACCTGCGATTGATGATGCTATCACTAACTTTGCCACTCGGCAGCTATTCATCGATTAGACCGGTCAAACCTATACCTGCATACAGGGTGTCCAATATAAGGATCCTATGCATAAGAATCTCAATACCTGTGGGAGATAAAGCTTAGGTTAAATTAGGAAACGGTTGCGTTCTTTGGGGCGTACTTACATGCCGTTGAGAAAGTTTTAAAAATTTCATAGCCTTCCGAGATATTTGGGAAAATCTAAAATTTGGCCAAATCATTTTTATTTTTTCTGACTTTATCTTAAGGGATATCAAAAAACTAATGAAACTTTTCCATTGGCACTTTTTAGACACTACATGATGGTGCTTTTCAATTTTGTGCCCGACGGTTCGTTTTTAAGAAACATCAACTTGAGAGTAGTGCTTTACGAGTACAAGCAGTTGCTGAGAGGTCTGAGATATCAACTAGGCAGAGAAAAATGTAGGAGTAGCCAAATCTACAGCCCAATCTATTTTGCGTAAAAATAGATATCACCCTTATAAATTCAGGATTTGCCTAGCACTTAGACCATGGGATAGCGAACGGTGTCAGCATTTTTGTGAGCGATACATGCGAACGTGTGAAGAACATTTTAATTTCCCTTCAAACATAAGGTGGTCCGACGAAAGTATGGTCACTAATAATATTATCTTTATTCGCCGCGACACTTGTTACTGGGCTCAAGAAAATCTGCGGGCTGAAAAAGTATCCAGACATCAAGAATGTTTTGGGTTTAATATGTGGTGTAGAATTCTTGGGATCTAAATATTAGGTCCATTTATTCACCACGCCTCATTAACTGCAGAACCGTACCTTCAATTATTGCCGCATGATCTGGATAATTTACCTTTGCACAGATTAATAGGTGTTGGTTTCAACAAGACGGTGCTCGTGCACATAGCTTTAGGCAAGTTTGAGTGTATCTTTCTCAGCAATTTCCCGGAGGTGGATTAGAACCTCCAGTGAAGTATCCTGACCAGCGCGTTCCCTGGATTTAACTCCTATGGACATTTTACGAGAATGTGTAATGGAAGCATTTAGTATGATTACTCCAGAAATGTTACGTGATGTTTTGAATTCTACTCCTAGAAGATCATATATATGTTTAGAGAATCATGGCAACCAATTTGAATACCTATTGTGAATTAAAATAAAAATAATGTTACTGGATTAAGCATCATTTTATAATCACATATTCTTACATCAAGCATTTGTTTGCCACGCCTACTTGAATAAAATAAAAACTACACTTTTTTTTATAACTCAGACAACAAATGTAACATGTGATAAATCGTTGAATTCATTGAATAAGATACAGGGTGTAGATACTTCTTTTCGGACCATATAAAAAAATAAAGTTGATGATGGTTTCTCAAAACGAGACCTCGAGCACAAAATTTAAAAACCCCATCATTGTAGTGCTTAAAAAGTACCAATGAAAAAGTTTTTTATACGCTTCGATCCCCAGCAACTATACAACGCTAAAAATATAAACATATTGAGGAGAAGCGACTCGGAGGAAAGTGCGGCGACATTTGTGATTTACACGTGTCAAACGTGATATGTCGCTTCCCTTTCCATTCACGTTTTTTTCTAAAAATCACGAGGAAGTCCAAAAACGAGATTCAAGCGATGTTTGTGCTTTCGTTATTTACCCGCTTTGCCGGAACTGGACATACTTTCAAAAAATAAAAGATTTTTCCGTCGATGGCATATTCGTAGCATCGTGTCACAATATTCTCAAGATTCAACCGCTGCTTTTCAAGTTACAGCGTGCGCCAGGGATTAGCGGACATAGAAATAGATAGACAAACAGACGGAAATTAGTGACATGGTTTTTAGTGATATACATATTTACATATGTATATAACATTTTCAAAATTTTTCGTGATAACAGTTTCACGTCATTAGGAGTGGGAGGTAAAACTGCGCTACTTTTCTAATTAGGCTGCTTTTCATACACTAAGAGCGGCAAGCACCAACCAAGAGACTTCGAAGATAACTTAGTATGTTGCTGAAAATATATGAAATTGGCGACTTCAGCAGTTTTGTCTTTCAATCGTGAGATCATATTCTTGATACTGAAGCTACACAGATCTATACGTACTATATTCGTATACGGTTCAAATTCGTCGCGAATTTCGGATTTTTCCAGAAGCAAACTAACTTAGTTTTGAACTGTCGCGGTTGCTGCTTGCCACCCTAAGAATCTGTATTCTCATCTTTATAATGTCAAAATAATGATGTAACAAGGACCTCATTAACTTTCATTTTGGTACATTTCCAGATGTCCGGTGAATTCACATTGGATACGTCACCGCCAAGCGCAGCCACATTGGCCGTTGCCGAGCAGGAGCTGCGAGAAACTCCCGAAGTAGTGTCGCAGGCACTGCAGGAACTGCGGGAGTTGCTTAAGAATGATGACACCATCTACTTCAAGGATGATGATCAGACACTCATCATGTACCTGAGACCGTGCAAGTTTTATGCCAAGAGCGCTTACGAATTGGTTAGTTATGTCGAACTTGAACAAAATAGACAGTATTCTACCAATAATATTACATATTTAAAGTATCATAGAAAGTCTAAATATATCCAAATGTCTAATACAACCCACATCTGGCTTGACAGCACTTAGTCAGTTTTGTTTGTCACTTACACGTATGATGCTTTAGTGATGCAGTATTAGTAAGGACGGGTATCTATTTATCTCTATCCGATAGCATGCTCCAAATATTGTATTATTATTACAGTATTATATTATTTATGTTATTATTATTGGTAAAACTGGCCCTTATTGACCGGTGCAGTGGTTCGAGGCGATTAATGTCCTTAGATAACCAGACAATTATGTTGAAGTCAGAACAAAAATATTTAAGTATACTGTTTTTTTCTCAAAAAGTCAAAACTAGTATTTTCAACCTGATACTGTAAAAGGTATTTTTGAGCATCATGTGCGCACATATTAGCGTATGTCATACTTGATGAAATTTTAGTTGTAATTTTGAGGAGATACCTGCATACCTAATTTTTTTCCGCCAAGAGTAGTAGATATATCACAGTACGTTACAACAGGCCCTGGGGTTGGCTTTCGGCTAATTTTACATATCTTGTATTGAGCCCATCATACGATGTAAGAGGATACAGACTACACAATTTGGAGGACCTGTAGCGGCCTAAATGCCAAATCAGGGGCATTGAATACCATTTTTCATATCATGCTGTTGTCGAGTCATTTAGCAACTCTTAATTTAATTTTATTTCTCTCTGTACACAAAAAATTGACTTTTACTACTACTCAAGAATATCCAGAATGTAGAAAGATTTGCCAAAGACCTGACATCAACTCTTCACAACAATCGCGAAAGCGGTACCGTGCTATCTGCCGTCACGGCTCTTCCAGTATCAAAGAAATATGAAAACAATTTACCTGTAATCTAAGCTAAATGCAAATTGAATACTTTTTTTCAGTTCATTTGTGACCACATAATTTACTCACATACTTTCTTATTTACATGATTTTCTTAAAATCTCTAACTAAGAAACTTATCAAGCATAACCAATGTTATTTTTATAGATCATGAGTGTTGCAAAAAATGGAAGGGGAATCCGATTATGTTTAGAGATAAACATAATCTTTGTCATTTGTATGCACTTTGAACGAACAAATGACGACGTTAATATTGAAAGCATAATATGATTCATTGCTTTTTTATGTAACTACAATAACTGGACGACACGCAATGTACTAATGCTACAAATGATAAGTGGGCAATATATTTAGTATTAAAGAGGAATTTCTATTAAAATTTTGTCTGTTTAAGAGCACCGTAAATTAGGTATATAATAAGATCTTTAGTCAGCTAAATCGTAAGTTGTTAGTACAGTCGACTGCAAAATTAGTGACGCCACATTTTTCTTATGTGTTGTGAGTGCCTACATCATCATCGTTGACGTTTTTCTCAAATTTCCCTAACATCGAGGAAAATGATCCATTTATTTTGAAATTGGATTTTCAAGTGATTTGAGAGTTTGTCTTCACTTCAAGGAAGCTACTGGAAATCGGCTTCTTATACAGGGTGTAAACGTTATGGTAGTCATTATTGAAATGGAGGGGGGGTCAAAACAACTTAAAAACTTTATATGACCCATGGTTAGATTTTTGTCTAAATAACTTTATAGTTTACAACTTTAGTGCTTTATATCGACCACAATCACCACAATCTTACTAATTTTTAAATTGGGTAATTAACAAATAAATGGCATTAAGTTTTTCTAAGTTAAGCCAAAATTTGAAGTCAGTAAATAAGTAAGTTTCATTAAATTAAATATTTAAAACACACATGACAATAGCGCGTCGGTCTTTCATCACCCTTATAGAACCGGCAATCGATCGCAAACGGTAACAGTGGCTAGTTATCCTTTTGAATAGTTTTGCGGCGTTATCAGATTTATTTTACTTTAAAGTCGCTTTTCTCTAAGAAAAATGCCGTTTTTACCCCCATGTTATATGAAACTTTTTGCTTTTTTAACCCAATTAAATAATGACTATCATAACGTTTACATCATGTAATAGTTGAACCGCACTGTATAATTCAATGAAATTTTGACACCGTATATACCCTATTTCACGAGTATCCATCACGGTAGAATGACAGCTGATTATCTAGTAATACCTCAAAATTTCCCATATCGGCACAGGACACATAATTCTGACGGATGCGTCAACGTGAGGTAGTCAGAGCCGTATTTTGTTTTGGTTTAAGCTTCAGATTCATTTTGTACTTGCTAACAGCTCTTTTATTCAGAAAAGTTCATTTGCATATAAAAACAAGTTTTACCCGTTTCATTATTGCCAACGTCGCAGACTAACACAAAAATCTGTCTTGCTGATAAGCTGTGCACCTCAGTAGACGTCATAGCGTGATGGATACTTGTGAAATAGGGTATAGTAACCAACGAATTCAAATAGGTTAGGCGATAAGCCGATATGTTGACTGTTGACTCATTTGTCTACCAATGTTTACCAAAGTAACAGCGTTGTATCAACATAATAGTAATACTTACTAGCGGAAACATGTACTTCCATTAGGCGTATGCCGCTCTTTGCAAATTATTTAAGAAGTACTAGGTTTTGAAATCGTCTAACATAGCAGTTATCTGCAAACACTCGTACTTTTGAAAAATAGTTCTTAAAAAAAAATTTGGTGCAGGTGCACTTTAACAAAACATCGGCCTCGTGAGAAAAATTCCTGCGGACGCCCAGGGTGTCGTTAACAAGTTACTCAAGAAGAACTATTGATTAAAGTATTCTACCTGAAGATAGTCACACTAATACTACTACTATATTCCAGCGTCAAAAAAATTATCCCAGATGAACTGAGATACGGAAGTGCCATCTATAAGAATTTGTCAGAGCTATCTTTCTCCCTCCGCAACAATTAGAAGCCTAGTTTGGAAAAGTTAATGTCTCGTAGATGGTTCTGTAGCTATACGCTCATATATGGGTTGACTAAAGTGCCATCTATGAGACAGTAACTTTTTCATAGTAGATTCATAATTATTGCGGAGAGGAGAAAGATAGCTGTTACAAATTATCATAGAAGACGCTACAGTATCTCATTTTATCGGGATAGTTTTTCGGACGCGCAAAAATAGTTACAGGTTTTCTATCTTCGGGTATTATACAGGGAAAACCAAATGTGTATGAGAGAGAACCGCGAGAAGTATGAATCAGCATAAATTAGAAATAGATAGAAGCCGGCTAAAGAGCAAAGGTAATCACTATATTACTTAGCAACGGTGACACAGACGGTCGTGCAATCTGTGTTGCCAGTATGTTACACCAGAAAATGTGCGCGCAGGCTGCTACAATAGGTTAGGTTACTGTCAAACCCAAGAAAGAGGTCTGTTTGAACATTCAATTTAGAATTTTGTTTTCATTTTGATTAGAACTATTTATTTTAATTTTGATGCCACTTAGTGTTTTAATTTATTTTTTAATAACCTTTGATTTGATTTCCACCGATGGTGATAAAAATCAACACATCCTGAGTTTTTCCTGCATTTTGCGCCAGCGAGCGGACGGAAAATGTAACAAATACCAGTACGATGCAAATTATCACTGCCTGCGTGTACGCAGGTGAAAACCATTTCGAAGCAATGAGCGCTAGATGGGTACTGACCAAAATCGCTCATCTATGATCATGAAGGTGGAAACCTTCCCTTGAAATGTACGAGATGCGGTGTTGTCAAGCGAACCAATGATGTAATGTTGCAGAATTTGTGGCGATCCTGACCTTTCATTTCGACCAAAGATGGAGCGCCGTCAGGGCTGATCCGGAATCGATCCTAAACAAATTCGACACAATTCACAATTCAAAAATATGTACGCGCAAAGTAAAACCATTATTTCGCATATTTTCAAGATACACCTTCATTCAAGGAATTGGTGTAACATATTGGCATCGCGGCAGATTGCTGCGTCAGCGTTGCTAGGCAACTCTATTATGAGTTTCGATATCCAGCCGGCTTTTATCTCTTTCCAACATATGTGTCTATACACACTTCTCTCTCGTACTCAGTGAGCTCAAGCCGTCTGACAAATTTGGTTTTCATGTATGTTAATCAATTGAATAACCCATTTCCAGTAGCGTACTTAAGACCTGTATGTCCTTATGACATTTGTTTATAGGTTTATAGGAATTTTTTGAGTTCCATACTGATCTAAGAGATTGCAAACTTATTCTGGGGTAGTCTTTGTAGATAAAAAGCAAGTTAAAATAATTTAGTATCCTTTCACCTCCTTCTCTTATACGAAACATAAAATATGGGCGTTTTTTTCTTTACGTATGACTAATTATCTCTTATTTTTTTGTTTATACGGTATTGTTTTCATTTACGAGCCCCTTCCCACTTCAGTTGGCCCAACTATTGAAATCTTAGTTTTTTTCTTATCAAACACAAATAATAAAAATGTAGCAGGGTGTTATAGGTTTAAAATATTAACAATGAATATTTTGATAATATATAGTACAAAACACCAACTTTATCACTCCCTAATCAAATTTGCAGCATAAAAATAACACATGTTGCAATTACAGTATATCAACCTATTTTCATTTCAATGCAAAATAAGTCTACAACGCATAGGTGGCTGTGAAAAATAAAAGCCATGACAATTGTTTTTATTAATCACAGCTGTCAGAATACGTTTAAAATAGTTTTGGGTAGTTAAGGTTTTCAAAATGGGTAGAGGAAAGGTTATTAGTGAGAAAATTCGGTTACTGGTAATTAAATTTTTGAATTTTGGGAAATCAAACTAAGAAATTGCAACTTTGTTAGACTTATAGCGGTACAGAGAAATATTGTTAGAAGATATAACGTAACTGGTTCAGTTAATATTAAGCCACGATATGTGAAAAAAAGTAATATCACAAATGCCGACCGAAGAGCATTAAGAAGAATAATCGTGAAAAACAGGCGTGCCAATTATTTACAATTAAGTGCTCTGTGGAGTGACGCTGTTGGAAGGAGAATTTCGAGGTCCACAACTCATAGAGAGGCCCACAAACTGGGATTTAGCACTTGCAAGGTAAGTTTTCTTACAAAAAATAGTGAAGTAAAAACTCTAAAGTTGCACAACTTGTTTATAGGCCAAAGAAAAGCCACTATTAACTCCACTGCAAAAGAAAAATCTGCTTAGATGGGCTAAAGAACATAGACAATGGACACCTCAACAATGGTGTGCAATACAATGGAGTGATGAGCCCCGATTTGAAGTTTGTATTGGTGACAGTCGCATTAGAGTTATTCGCAAAAAAAATTAAGCATTCCATTTTGACTGTCTGAAGAGAAAAGTGAAATTTCCAGCATCCAATATGGTCTGGGGCCATCAAAAGGAGTAGGAAAACTTCATTTTATTGATGGAAATGTGGATACAAACAAATATTTGACAATTTTAGAAGAATCGCTTTTACCAGTGATGGAAGAATGTTTGACATCCGGTCAAGATTTTGTGTTTCAGCAAGATGGTGCAGCGTGCCATACCTCAAAAAAGGCTATAAAATGGATGGAAGAAAGTAATGTACCACTTTTGAAATGGGTTTCTAGCAGTCCAGATCTGTCACCTATTGAAACTTTGTGGCACGAGATGAAAAAGGTTCTATGCCATCATCCTGCTGGTACAATCACCGAACTGAGACAAAAGCTTCAAGAAATATGGGATTGTTTTACACTAAATTTTTGCCAAAACTTCGTTAACACTATGCCCCAAAGAATTTCAACCGTAATAAAAAATAAAGGTGATGTTACCCTATGGTAATCTTTCAATTGCTTTGTTAACTTCGAGCATTTATTCCCAAATTGTTTATCTGTTCAGATGTTCTATTAGTTATAGGTCTAAGTGATTTCACTTATGTATTTTTTACGACTAAAGTGTACCTATCTAAAATGTTTTTGAGAAAATAAATTGTTTTAGAAGTAAATAGTTTCGTCATGTTTAGTTTATAAAGGCATATTTTGGTACAAATCTTGAAGTGGGCCAACTGAAGTGGGAGGGGCTCGTATATACGTTACTTCTAAGTACGCGTCATGACCTAACTAGAATTTAAAGCCTACAGGTTCAATGAAAACGTCTCTACCTAACGTCGAATGCCTATAGTTTCTATACATGATAATGGTTATCGGGGTTATCGACTTCTTTCATTAGAATCAGGATGCTATGCAACTATGCCAGGGGCGTAGGTAATTTTTCATTTTCAACCTACGTATATAGGGGACACCGTAAAGAGATCTGCAGCCCACAGGATAGTCATTGAGAAGCTCAATAACGCTTGATGTTCTGGGACAGTATTTTGCCTTACAATACGGCTAGGCTCCATGGAATTTCAACAGATGTTCTTATTATTAATTATTTTCAGATGAAACGTATTTCGGAATTCAAAGAGAAACATAAGGACATCTTAGAAAATCTTCTGCCCGAGGATGAAAAAGTTGCCTTTACAGAGCATAATGTAGTGAATGTATTGAAAAATAGAGACCATAAAGGCAGGAGGGTGCTTCTCGTCAATGTGGGAGGTAATTCATATAGATTTTTATGTTTTTTCCATATTAACCCCTTTCAGATCGTTTTTGACCACATAATATGAATTATGGAGGCGAAAGCCGGCCTTTCCAAATCAACATTAAAACTAGCCTATTGGTTGATATTTTACTTCACAGTAAATCTGACCACAATTACCAAGTAATCAAAGCTTTTGACGATCATGCTGACCTAAGTTTTGTCCCATTGACCTATACAGAATCCAATTTCACAATCTTTATGCCGTGTTTACCGGAGTACGTTGCCGTCATCAATTGTAGGGTGTTCCAAAAACATTCTAGAGGCGATTGTTTGGACTATCCTAACGCTATTTTGTCCTCAACGACATTGTATAATTTAACGAAACTATGACAGCGTCGTTACCTATCAAGGCCTCAAATGTTGGTATTCTGGAAGACAACTAACTGATTAAGATCAACAGGGATGGTCCAGTCCCAGTGTAATATTGTCCATGTTTGAGATTTTTTATAATAAGCTGATTTCTCAAAAGCCCCCTACAAAATAGAGATATGAGAATAACATTGAATAAAAATGAGTACACCAAATTATGTTACTAGTATTGCAGTGGTTGAATATAAAAAAATTCATATCATATTTGGTTGTTATTTTTATATTTAAAATAAAAAATCATCATTAGCCACAACATTAAGAACACTACATAGAATTGAATAATCATTACCAAAATTATTATATAAGAGGAAATATAGATTTTCATTTACAAAATTGCAATAGTAATATAACTAGCAATTCAATATTTCAGAAATTATTACTAGACATTAATAAATTAAATAATGATATAAAGTCTACTTGTAATTTAAAGATGTTTAAAAGAAAATAAAAGGAATATTTCATGGACAGTGAAAATTCTTAGAGATGCAAATTTAGTTTTCTTGTAATGTAATTGTTTATTTTTTCAGAAGAATGTAATTGTAGCAATCATGCTAAGTAAATCTTAAACAAACAAACAAATGGACAAAAAATTACATTTTTTGGCAGCCTAATCCATTAGCTGAGAAAATGTACACTTTTTTATAAGAACCAGATTAACGTTTAATAGTACTGATACACATTTGACAATTTTTTGGTACTTTTAGGTACGTGGGACCCTTCGAAAGTATCCCCAACGCAGCTCTTCAGAATTTTCTACATCATCCACGAGGTAGCCGTCCTGGAACCAGAGACACAAATCAACGGATGTGTCGTAATCATGGACTTCGATGGACTGGGCATGAAACAAGTGAAAGCCTTCAGCCCTTCATTTAGTCTTCTGTTGCTCAGTTTTATCCAGGATGCCATGCCTTTGAGGTTAAAAGAGGTTCACATGGTTAAGCAGCCCTTTGTATTCAATATCGTTTGGAGTGTTTTCAAGCCCTTCATTAGGGATAAGCTAAAGAAGAGAGTGAGTAGTTCCTGGCTAGCTAGTAGATACAGATATAAAGCTTCTTAAAATACTCAAAGCATGCTTGATAATTCGGGTGCTCATTAACTCCTTAACTACAACGAGCTTCTGATATGTTTTCCTGGAAAGCTTTGCTGAGTTTTGAAAAGATGCTGCCCTTGTAGTTTTTAAAGTCTTGCTTCTGAATGCTTACTTTATATAATATTTACACAACTCTTGAAAGAAAAGCTAATTTCAAAATAAAATATTGAAAATATCCAACAATTTATTCAGTGGGAGAAACATTTAGAAGTATTTTGATAAAACCTAGTAAGAAAAATATACAAAAACAATCATCTCTATTTGGTAATTACTATTACCAAACAAAAGCATCTATATTATTCTTTTTTCAAATGATTTTTTCAAATCCTGGCCGTCTCTGCTGCGAACGTGGTCCATTTTGAAATTGGGATTTTCGATGACGCGTTTGTACATTTTGAGTGGTATTTGGCTAATAACGTGAGTCAGGCTTATTCCTCATCCCTCAAACGTGCTCCCTTATCCGTTGTCGAAGCGCCACAGTAAAACGTCCAAAGGTGTGATGTCACATGATCTAGGTGGCCAATTTATCGGTCCGAAATAACGAATTTGCCAAAATTGTGTAGTTTTATACCCTATTCCTAGTCAATTTAGACCCCGGCACAACAAAGCGTCAGCCGCCTAAGCGTGGCAATTGCTATTGGTCATTCGACCATAAAACTACGAGCAAATGCAGGATTCGACAGGATAGAACTCAGGCTCGGGGTATCGGCCGACGCCGGCAATTGCCGTTCATATTCGGTGCATAGATAACGAGTGTTTATACGCTACCATGTCGTCTACGAATATAGCAGATGAAACTGAGATTATTTCCCAAAAATGCTTCCTTCAGTGATGTCTCCCCTCGAAAGCATGACAAGAAGGGACATTTGAATATTCAGGCAAAAGAAATTGTCCTTAACGTTCATAAGAGCAATATCTTAGAGCACCTTGGAATGCAAATTCATGATATTGAAAGGCGTGTGGCGAACAAAACAGGCTTATGTCCTAAGACAATTTTCAACATTGTTAAAGAATATAAAAAAAAACGAAAATATGTCTGCACACACGAACCTGTTGGATACAGTCGATAACTTTGATCGGAATGCCATCAGACGGAAAATCCATAAATGTTTTGAAAGACAGGAGTCTCCCACCATAGACAAAGTATTACAGGAGGTTCATAGTGATACTCAAAGAGCTTCATCTTGAGTACCTACAGAAAACGGGACAGAAATAGTATTTTGATGGACAGTCAAGAGATTATTTTATGGAGAAGAAATTATTTAAAATCAATAAAGAAATACCGCGACCAGGGCAGGAAGATTTATTAATTGGATGAAACCTGGATAAATCCAGAACATACAAAAACTAAAGTATGGACTGACTCTACAATTGAATCAGCATGACAAGCCTTCTTCAGGTACATGTATCTAATCAATTCATCATTTATGTTGTAAAAATGGTGTCAAGTAGACCGAATCTATGAGTCCACGCTGAAAACTTAGCTTCACTAAACTTAGCTATATCGGGTAGATTTGGAACCAAAACCTGTTAGATAGTCTGCTAGTATTATTATTAGTTCTCTTGAATACTATTTGAAATAATTATTCCCAGGAAAAAGGAAACGATTTGTTATATGTCACATTGACAGTGCCCACTGCCTTATAGGCATTTGAGTCAAGGAAAACGACCAACTACCATTAAGAAATGGACGGGACCTGATTTGAACGATGGTTTGAAGAAACGCTCCCACAGCTTGACGACAATGCTGTCATTGTACTTGATAATGCTACAAACCACACTAGAAAAGAATTCGCACAATGTCCATAAAAAAAGCAGAAATTCAACAATGGCTCCTATCAGAAGACATTAGTTTCAACGAAAATATGGTCAAAGCAGAACTTATCCATCTAGTCAGCCAGCACAAACATAAATATAATCTTATGTTATTGACGAAATCGCTTAAAACCAAAATAAGACCGTTTTAAGGCTATCCCCTTATCACTGCGAATTAAATCCCATTGAAATGATTTTGGCAAATATAAAAAACTATGTGGATTCAAACAATAGAACATTCAAATTTTCAAATGTGAAAAATTTGCTTTATGAAGCTGTCAACAAAGTGATGGCAAACCATTGGAAATATTGCATCCGTCATATTCAGGAGACAATCAAAACAAAGATGTGGGATCTGGACAATGTGCTCGATACTCAAATTGAGCCTGTAATAATGAATATTAACCATTCGGACGATGATTCAAGTACTTCCAGCGAATAAAGAAATGTGAAAAGTATGTGCACTTCGCAAACAGAATGCATGATATTGGAAATAGTAGAACAACTTGCTTGAGTTCTACTTGGGTTTTCTAAATAGTTGTTGTGATCAGAGCAGATACTTAGCTAAAATCAAATACCTAGTATAGAAATTACTTACGTTGTCACTATACTTATCTAACAAAAAGATTTGGAAGAAGCTTAACTAATTGGAAATTCATAGTTCTTTTGGGCCTACCGAACTTCCTCACTAGAATCTCGTGGCAATTAAAAGCATTTTCTAAGAACCTTTAGATTCAAAATTAAAGTGTTTTTGACTCAAAGTTGAGGTTTCAGTTAGACCTTTTCAGTATGCATGAAACAATTTAGTTTGTCTCCAATAATTTAGATTTTTCAATGTTGAGGTATAACTCTAGATGGCATGAAAGCCCCACGTTGAGGCACATGCCGTTTCGTCTTTTTGTATTCCACAGAAACCTTCGCCACTTTCGACAATTGTCTGAAATACTAGGGCAGTAAGGAACCACGCACTTTTATATGGCTTCTTAGAAAAATAAAATTTTTAGATGAATTGTCTACTACTGGCGGCTGAAGCCTGATCGACTTTCATGCTGACGACAGACTATGAGATTTGGGAGACAAACAAATAATAAACTTGCTCCTTCTATCTAGTCTGAACTCGTTGGCTCGGAAAGAGAAAGTAGCAGCTGCTCGTCCAATTCTTGTCGGAGTAAAGCTATGATTTTACAGCAGTGCTGCAAGTAGCGCAGTGCTATTTTGTTGGAACCAGTGTTCTGAAGAACACGGGATTGAATTTCAGACAGCATGGTGTCTTAGGGCCGTACCGCCAGTCATTCCTACAATAATTGTAGGATACCTTTTTTTGGCTTCCTTGATTTTCATAGTATTTTCTATCCTTCAGAAAGGCTGGGATATTACTAGATGTCTACTGTTCCGTGCCAGCGCTCTCCTAATTATGTTTCTTTTTAAAACAAATGATAAAAATCAAAAGCTTGAACAATTTAATGCAAATAGATATTTGTAACATAACCTCAAAATAGAGCGCTGACACGAAACAGTAGATAACTATGAAAATCAAGGAGGCCATAAAGGCACTCTTTTATCTTTTCCAGAAGGGCCGAGGTATTTCTAGATTTAGACTGTTCCGTGTCAGTATCAGCTGATAAAACAGATGATAAAAATAAAGTTTTATCAGCCTTAAATATCTTAGAGCTCAAAATATGTATAACCCCAAAAAAGAGCGCTTACACAAAACAGCGAAAAACAGAGACGACTGACAATCCCGCCCTTAAAGGTAGGAAAATACCACTCGAAATACTCGAATGTTTTATCAAAAAATAGAACTCCAAAATGGATCACACTGGTCATAGTAACAACAGATATTTTAAAGAATTACTGTTAAAAACTGAAAGCGTTGAATGGTACTTTTCTTCGATAATGAATATAACCCAATAAAGTTGATTACTTTCATATACGAGTATTTCCTGAAAAAAGTACATCTAAGTGAATCACCTGTTATTTAGCATTCCATTGTAGGATGAATATTGCTTGCGTATAGGCGCCCCAAAGTTTAACTATACTCTAGGCGCTGAAGAAAGAAACTAAACCCAAACAAATACACGCATATTGCTCGTGAGTGAGTGTTTAGGCGCAGGAGACATTACAGGACCGCATCAAGATATTATGGGTAGTCATAAAAAATTTCATACAAGATAATTATTACCTTTTACAGTAAATTTCAGTTAGAGATTCACAAATGAGTTAACTACACTTTTTAGTTATTAGTAAGTAAGCTGCGCGCACTAATTCAGAAGAGGAACTTGAATCTTCTGAATCGTTTAAATGAATTATTAGAGGTTCAATTTGGGTATCGATGACATTGTCCAAATCCCACATTTTGACCTCAACCTTCTCCCGAACGTGGCGGATACAGTTTTTCCATTCCTCTGCCGTAACTCTATTTACTGCGATGTGAAAGAGATTTTTAACATCAGAAAATTTATAAGTATTATTATTCGACGCCACGTATTGCTTTATGTTGGCCCAAATCAGCTCAATAGGGTTCAGCTCACAATGGTAGGGTGGCAGTCTCAAGACAGTTTTATTTTGTTTTTTGGCCATTTCGTCGATCATTTTAAAATCGTATTTGTATTTATGTCTATTGACTATACTTATCAATTCACCCTTGACCATTGTTTCATCAAAATCGATCTGTTTTGAGGCCAGCCATTGTTGTATGTTGGCTTTTTTAGTTGCCATTGTGGGAATTTTTTCTATTTTTCTAGAATGGTACGGGGCATTATCCAGTACAATAACAGCGTTATTCTCCAGCTTTAGTAACATTTTGGAGAACCAATTTTCAAAGGAATTGCCGTCCATCTCCTCATGATAGTCCCCTGTCTTTTTTGATTCAAAGGCCCACAGTGCTTCGGGAACAAAGCCGTCTTCACTACCTACGTGACAAATGATCAGCCGTTTGCCTTTTCCTGGAAATAAATTATTCCTTACACTATGGATTGATTAAATTTGAAGGAATGAGGCAATTGAGTTCATTTAGCTGAATTTAAGAGTCACGGAATGCTGATCAAAAACTGAAAAACGTAGAAAATTGAAGTTTGCAACTTCTCAAAACCCATTCAAAGCAAATTGACTGCACCCAAAAATGATAATAAATTTCAAAATAACGCTTAAAAGAGGGTCGAAGTTTTTTTCCTAATGACTACACTGCGAATGCACCATTTTTGGAGAATATCACACATTATCTGCTATCACAGCATATTATTTGCCCGAATTTATCAAAATTAAATTGCCGGATAGATGAAGGAGCTTACCTGCAGGATTTTTCAATCCAGCCGAAAGACCGTCTAGAAAAGCCTGCCTTGATGATGTTACTGATTTGTCGACCCAAACTTTCGCTTGAGTATGTCCAGCATTCACCCACGTTTCGTCCAAATAGTAAATTTTTCATCGCGAAACTTCCGAATCTTCCTAAGGTATTCCCTTCTCCACACAACAATTTCTTCTTTCTCTATTAACACACTTTCCTCCTGATGGCAGTTCTATCAAAGTCATCTACTCCGTCCGTTATCATTTTTCTTGCAGGATACGGTTTTGGCTCAGAAAGTGAGTGAGTGCTCCTATATTCCTTAATGATCCTATAAACACTGGACCGACATACTCCAGAAATATGTGCTACCTTACATATAACTTCGTCCACGACCAAATCGGGTTTTTCTTGAATTTGGTTTTTGTTTATATTTAATATTATTTGTTTTTCATTTGCACTTAAATGTAGCTTCTTAGCCCTTTTTTTGGGTGGGGTTGCGCTGATGTCAACCACTTCGTCGGCTGTATCTGTGTCAGACATCGTATCTTAGGCAATATACAGGGTTATCCAAATTAAGTGTCCACCATTAGTAACTTTGTTATTAGTGAAAATACAAAGTTGTTTGAATTAGCAAACTAGTAGCATTTTTAACGCTGGTAAAAATGAGAAATAAAAAAAAACAATTGAGAGTCGTTATTTTGATTTTTTTCAGTAAAATAACATTTTTTTAAAAGGAAACCCCTGTATATTATATTTTTTTCTGTTAAAGCATCAAATTTTAAACAAAAAAGCTTACAATAACTTTTCTCCTAGGTTACAAATTGTTGAAGTTATGGCCTCCAATCTGAAACAATTAAATTGTATCGACAAACTTTATTTTCAACATCAACTTATAATCTTACAAAATACAATAACAATTTTTTTTAAAGAAGATGCTCGAAAACACCACCTTGTTCTTCAATACATTTTTGGGCACGTTTTTCAACTGCTCGAACTGTCTTAAGTATGGTCCTACCATCTATCTGGGTTATCTTTTCCCTAACTGCAGTCTTTAACGCGTCAAGGTTATCGTACCTTCGCTTGTAAATTTGGTTCTTTAAGTAACCCCACAAGAAGTAATCAAGTGGGTTTAGATCTGGTGATCTGGGAGGCCACTGTATTGGGCCATTTGTTCATATCCACTGATCATTAAAAGTAGTACTTAGAAAATGATAAGTACCTCTGGAGTTGTGGGCAGGTGCGCCATCTTGCTGAAAATGCAGATGATGTCTACTTATAAGATCCAATTCGTCTAAGAAATTAGTCAGAATTTCTGACATAAATTCCACATATCTTTCACCAGTTAGGGTTCCCTCATAAAAGAACGGGCCAACAATTTTTGAACCAATTATACCGCACCAAACGTTGAAACTGAAACGGACTTGTGGGCCTCTTGGATGTACTAACAAAAGATTTTCTCTTGACCAATAATGGTGGTTTTTTCTATTAAACATTCCAGAATTTGAAAAATTTGATTCATCTGTCCATAAAAGGTAACGAAAGTTATTTACATTTTGGCGACAGAAGCTAAGATACCAATGGCAAAAAACAAGTCTTCTCTCTGGATCCCCTGCCAAAAGCGTTTGAACTGGTCGGTACTTATACGGAATAAATTTGTATTTTTTTAGAATCCTTTGAACAGTACCATAACTGAAATTAGAGTCCTTGAGAATATCTGCTATTGAATTCTCACGATAAGCTTCAAAATATCCAATAACTGCAATTTCCGTGGCCTCGCTTATTATGAATTCTTTTTTTGCCCTTGTTTTAGCAAAAACATTTTCGTTGCCCCTAAATTTTCGATAAAGTCTCAGAAAATATCGTTCATACGGTTGAATGCGAGCGGGATATAATTCACTGTAGTATTCTCTTGCTCTCAAGGAGGATTTTCTGCACACTAAATAGCATTCTAACATATCACACTTTTCTTCATGGGAGAACATTTTTCTTTAAATTAATGACACAATAAAGCTTATAAACAAGTATTTACACTAATGTTTGACATTATTTGATTTTATCATTGTTTTCCAAAGCCTTCTAGTTGCGAGTATGTCCAGTTTAACAATTTGTCGCTTATCTTAATGCTGTCAAATCGCGAACGCCATGTTGTTTTCATAGCCGTCTTAATATTATAATACTGCAAATAATTAAAAATATTTATCGTTATTTTGACTTTATTTTTGACTTTAGCTGAAAAGTCATTATGAACTTTTTTGTTTAAAATTTGATGCTTTAACAGAAAAAAATATAATATACAGGGGTTTCCATTTAAAAAAATGTTATTTTACTGAAAAAAATCAAAATAACGACTCTCAATTGTTTTTTTTTTATTTCTCATTTTTACCAGCGTTAAAAATGCTACTAGTTTGCTAATTCAAACAACTTTGTATTTTCACTAATAACAAAGTTACTAATGGTGGACACTTAATTTGGATAACCCTGTATAAACAAAACGTTCCACTCGCGAAAAACGAGTATACGCTACTGAATGCGTAATGCGTATGCAATGCAATCCTGTGCGTGAATTAACTGTTAGATGCCTGTCGTGTCATCTACAATCACGTTTACAAGTCCAAACCTGTGCAGATTCGTAGAGCGCCGACGACTGCTAGTGACCTTGAATTTGTCTGTAGATCGATGTTACTCCAGTCAATTTAGGTTCAAAGTGGATGTTTTCTAAACCAATTTGTTGTTCCTACATCAAAAATATATCGATGATGTTTTGTACTGGGAGCTCATGAAAGATCAAGGTAACTTATTTTAACAGTCATCCTTTTTCTAGTCTCAAGATGACACGAAAAAGGGTCTGTGGATTCACTAGAAATACACTGCCGAGGATGTTTAGACCTAAAGTGACTGGAGTATATCCGTGGATGCTTTCGAGGGATCTGTTCACGTGCTGATCACTGATTACGTTTAATGTCTTTCTTCAGCGCCGAGAGTTTAGAGTATACACGATGTCGTTCATTATTTATTTCGTAGTTTCACTTGGAACGGTTTTAAAGAAATTTAACAGTCGCTCCCTATTATGTACCACGGCATAGTCTTATGGAAATTTTGCTTTGCTGCCTCGTATATTTGCCACCCGAACTTCCATTTTAGAACCTGCAACCAAAACATTTTGACAATATTTTGACAATTATCATATTTCGAGACTTAATGAAAATGCTCCTTTATTCCGGACATGCTCACGATTGTCCTTTGTTTTTCATCTAACTTTTTGCAAGACTACTTGTCTTTCGTTTTGTTTACGCATGAGCTTGAAGTACCATGGCAGATAGCTATAGCTGGCCTCCGTGACGATGTTGGTTGATACCTGGTTAACACAAGGTTTTCTAACCGAAGCCATAAAAGTCCATGCTGGCTCTTGTTGGTGGCTTCTAGTTATATTTTTTTTCCATTTTTGTTTCCCTTCAGGTGACACCCGTATACAGGGTGATGGGCATATGTTTTCACTTCGGTGTTTTGGATGTACAACTATTTGGACCTGATGAAGCCAATAAGCAGAAATTTAAGTAGCTCGGGTTACCAATCCTCATATTTCTGCTCCTTCTCACGATTATTCTTTGATTTTGATTCAAGTTTCCGCAAAACTACTTGTTTTGGATTGCACCTATTATTTTACCAGAAGGTACCTTCACAATGCTATGATCTGGATGATAGTGGATATCGATTTGTTGAACCCAATTTTCGGCACGAAAACCACACCATACAGTTATTTTTTGTAGATGAAATGGTGTTTCTTGAAGCACATGAGGGTTTTCACCTAACCAATAATGCATATTCTGTTTGTTGACGAAGCGGTTCAGCCAAAAATGCGTCTGATCACTGAAGATGACGTGCGTCGGTTCATATGATCGAACGGCTTTAGTTCTTGAGTTAACTTGTTCTTATAAGGGTGTAGGCCAATATCTCTTCGCAAAATTCGCCATAATGTGGTCCTAGCAATGCCCAATTGGAATCGACGTAAACGGCAGCAATATTCTCAGTACTTTGACCAACCCATTGTCTCACTTGCACGGTGACATCCAGCAGCGAATATGTGTCCACATATTTTGGACTCAATGTTGTCAAGTCCCTATTGGAAAACCCGATACAACAGTAGTACAATGATGTTTCAATTATTATTCACTTTCTGTTTTAGATCCACTTCCACGGTAGCAAAATGGATTCCCTGCACAAATTCATGGAACCATCCCATCTACCGAAGGATTACGATGGTGCACTGCCCAAGTTGGACTATGGCGGAAAGGACTGGTACCCAGAAGTAGACAAATATTTGGACCATATCAAAACCATGAATAGCTTTGGAAAGAAGAAGAAATAGAAGAAATATTTTGTCATGTTTTGTAACTTACTAAAATACTTCAGTACTATAATAAGACGTATTCCCGATCTCGTCCAGCAAATATGTTTTGAATGTTTCACTCCAATGTTTACTCAATATTTGTATCATTGACCAGGCTCTTAGACAAATCATGCCCATAATCGCCACAGCTATTCTTTTTTCTATTTCAATTTGTTGATTAGCTAGGTTCATGATGTGATGTATTCATTGTTTTGCAGTTAGTTTAGTACATACTCGTAATTTGTTTTTACTTGTTCACCTAAATTTTGTAACGTTCATACCTAACAGTCTGTTCAATTTTTCGCATATGATACGTACCTTTATGTACCTACATTTTGTAAATATATTGTAGCAAAAATATACTATTGTTCTCCCAATTTTTTTGTTTTTATGAAGTGAAGAATGGATCATAGAAAATAATATTTCGATCTATGATTACATCCTCGTCAACGTCCAGTTGGTGATGTGCTTTGTCTTTTTTAAGTACTTATAGTTCACGCCATTTAGAATACAATAAACTGTATTCTTCACAAGTATCTATTACATTCAAATAACAGCTGATTATTATCTATATCCGATTCGTAGTCCATTTACGCCCAGACAAAACACAACATGAACATAAGCGAGATTGTACAGGTCCGTATTTTCCTCAATGGTCTTAAAATAATTTAACAAAATAAATGATTATTTTTATAGAAAGAAGTGCACGTACTTTTCACAACTCATTATTTGCTGGAAGTACGAGTACATGAATCATCGTCCGAATGGTTAATATTAATTATTAAAGGTTGAATTTGAATATCGATCATATTGTCCGGTACGGATATTACCTATTTTGAAAAGTGACCTTATATCGATTATGTAGTTTTTTTGACAAGATATTAACTCAGCACTAGCCAATAGATACTTTTGTAAAGTCGTTTTGTAGTTGTACATGTTGCCTTAACGTCGTGAGGCTTCAGATATCAATGTTTGGCTATGATGTGATCTAAGATCTGCTTTACTGGAGGTAACGGCATAGTGAGGATTTGTGTGCTGATGATATGTGTTGATGATAATTCCATTGGATTTTTCTCTCAAATACACTTATTTGAGATTCAAAGCTAGAAATTAGTTGCGCATCCACTTTTTCTTGTTCATTCTGGAAATTACAAATGCAAATTTGCTGAATTTAAAAAATGAGAGAGATAAGAAATAATTATATTCAATCAGGTGTAAATCTACAAAAAGTTGTTTGTAGCGTTTTGTTTTTTGTATGCAAGTGAACTTTTCCAAATAAAAGAGCTTTTAGCAAGTAAGAAATGAATCTGTAGCGTATAAAAAAACAAAACAAAGTATGGCTCTGTCTATCTGGCATTGACGGATCCGTCCTTTGCAGATATGGGGAATTATGAAATAATACTAGATAGTCAGCTGTCTTTCTACAGTAATGGATACTCGTGAAAAATACTATAATATCAGTAATAACCTATAAATCTCGCCTTTGTCATCTCTACTACAAAATAAAGGATTGACATGCCGCTTTTCCACCATTTCAAACATTAAAACACTTTCAAGAAAATAAAATTCGTCAACTTTGTCTATACCTGCTGGGCGGCAGAAACGTACTGACTACCAAAATGTCAGACAACGCGCACAGAGTGTGACCGCTTTGTTCTGATGAGGATCTCGGACGTACTCACAGATTATTAGCTACACTACAGAGGACACTCTCTTCTATGATTCCTGGTACCACTGTTAATAGTGCCATCTGACGATTGGGCCGAATACTAACCGTTAACAAACGAAACTAAGACGAGGATTGTTCACAGCAGGGTTTCCCAACCTTTGTTTTGTTTAGGCTCCCCGGACTATAAATTATATTTTCATGCCCCCCTTTACTTTTTCAATAAATACAAAAAAACGCACATTATACAGGGTGGCGCATCGAAAACGAAATAGACGCATTTACTGGCAGCTCAGTTTTTTTTTGAAAAACGCTCAGACCCGTCGATTGTTTTTCAGGGGGACACAAGTTTGGCAAAAAATCACGTTAGCACGTGCAGCCCTTCAAAATCTTGAATGGAAAGGGGGGTCGAGTGATACCTTATTTTAAAGGTCTTTCAATTCCCTTTATAATGATATAAAATTAATGTACTTCAGTTCAGCAGTTTTGAAGAGTTATTGATTTAAAGCTTAAATAAAACTAATACATCATCATTAGTGGAGATCAATACATTTGGCAGCAAAGTAATTTAAAAATGAAGAATGAACTGACCCGTTAGGCAAGTAAATGTTGAAAATAGCCACCATGACTCTCCATGCAATAATAAATATTTTGCTCAAAATTTTGCCGCACATTTTGCAATATTTGAGGAGTAATTGGAAGGCACTCATTCACAATTCTTTGTCGCAGGTTTTCTCATGATGTTGGCTGAGTAGCATAGATTTTGCTTTTTAAATGACTCCACATAAAGAAATCCAAAGGTTTTAAATCTGGCGGTCTTGGGGGCCATTCAATGACAACTCTTCTACCAATCCATCGATCTGGAAACGTCTGATCTAAATATTGCCGAACACGTAATGCGTAATGTGGTGGGGCACCATCCTGTTGGAACATCAACCTATTCGCAATGTACCGCCGATCATTCTGATTTTCACCGGTCAAATTTCCAGGTAAGAAAAAAGGACCAACTAAATGATTGCCAAAAATACCAGCCCAAACATTTAATTTTTGTGGCTGCTGTCTATGAACCTCATGATAAATTCTGGGGTTAGAAAAAGGAACATTCGTCGGAAAACCAAGTGTTGAATAGAAAATGTTCATCGTTTATAATTCGTTCACTCATATCTTCATAAAATTGTAATCGCCGATCAAAATCGTCTTCAAGTTCTTGTACCAGGTGAATTTTATACGGATAAAAACTATGGGCCTTTAGAATCCGTCGGACAGTGCGTTGACTAGCACCACACACAGTCTCCAATTTGCGGGTACTTAACGTAGCATCTACATATATAAACTTGCCCTAAAACCCCCACTTCTATTGCTTCGTTCCTGATGGGATTTTCAATGTTGCGTTTTCCATTGGCGACTGACCCAGTTTGCCGAAATTTAGCTACAAGTTCTAACTTTAAAAGTTTAAATAAACTAATAAATGTTTTTTATCGAAAAACTGGAATAAATAAATAAGAGTAGGTACTAATGAGACACTTGAGATTGCATGTTCTGTACCAGTTGGTTGATTCTAGGTTCTGTTTTTGCCAAAACTGGAGCGGAAAAGCCTTTATCACATAAGTAAGTTGAAGAAAAAGGAACTAGTATTCGTAAAGCAAGAGATTCAAGTGTCGAATTAACAGGCAATCTTTTGATCCAAAATTTCTCCAATGTTAAAAGATGGAAGTCATCTTTCATCGACGAATCAGCCTTCATTTCTAGAAATTCTTGTGGCAATTGTGACACATCGACAACAAATGGATTTCTTGTCATGTGCCATATTGGTGACTCTGAATTGACGTCTTGATAGTATCGGCGAAATTCGTCTACCAGCGCTTGCAAATGAGTTTTTATGTCAGCTTTTAAATTTGCGTCCAGTATATTATTTTTAATTGCTTCGAACAGCCGAGAAAAAGATATAACACTTTCAGAAGACACTTTTTGATTCCAAAGTTGAAGCTTTGATATGAACCCCTGAATATAATCATAATTGCTTATATAGTATTGTATCTGCCCTGAAGTTTCAAGTTTAGCTCATTCAATGAGTCAAATATTTCAGGTAAATAAGCCAACCTCCATTGAAATGTGGCATCTTTGAACATTGTCAAGAAATCGTGTTTTTCTTTGAACAAAACAGAAAGAATTACTTCTTCTTTTAATTCATCAAGGCGAGCCAACATGTTGACTTTGGACAGCCAGCGTACTTTTGTATGGAACAGAAGAACTTTGTGATCAGAATCGAGATCCTCGCAAAGTAAAGTAAATAACCAACTGTTCAAAGCGCTGCTCTTGATGTATATTACAATCCTTATAGCCGAGTACAAAGTCTGGCGTAATTTTTGAGGCAATGTCTTGGAAGCCAAAGCTTGCCGACGAATAACACAATGTCTACAAACCATTGCGGGTTTTTCCCTTGAGCTTTTTAGCTAAGCCCGATCGTACACCTATCATTGCGGGTGAGCCATCTGTGCAAAGTTCAATGAGTTTCTTCCAAACCAAATCATTTTTTTCAATCAAATTTTATATCGAATTAAATATATCTTCAGATGTTGTACCTGCAGTCAAAGATTGTGAGTACAAAATCTCTTCTTGAATGATATCTCCGCCGATGTAACGAACATAAACTACTAACTGTGCAGAGTTAACGATGCCGGTGGATTCATCGCAATGAATGGCAAAAAATGGCGATAATTTTACTTTGTTAATTATTTGTGACTTTATGCCTGCTGCAATGTCATCGATTCTACGCTTCACTGTGTTATTCGAAAGAGAAATGCATCTTCTCCTAAAATTATCTGCGTGGCTTTTAAGACACAGACACATGGTTTTATTAATTCTTCACCGATAGTATGAGGTTTCTTTTGCTTTGCTATTATAAAAGCTATTTCAAATGAAGCTTTGAGATGCTGCGATACACCTGTGTGATAACTTCCCGATTTATTCAGTCTCATCCGCTTGAGTTATTCTGCTGTAGAAGAAAAAACTGTTTCGTCTTCAAAACCAGAGGAGGATGTTGTTGCTTCAAATGCCTTAATTTTTGTAGGCAGGTTGACGTTATAATAGTAATTGTAAATACATTTGGAATCAATATTAGGTACTTAAGTTCGTCGTTTCAAAATTATTTCGCCTCGTTGGTTTGATTGAGATGTGGTAAAAAAGTCACAATGGCCAATCTATGAACGTGTCTCCACTCAGTCAACAATTTAGTAAATTAAATAAAAATGGTAACTGAAGTTTGTAAATACACAAACTTATCTTTTAACAGTGAGATACAATAATTTGACACACTCAAACAGTTTTCTCAACAAAACATATACATCGAAACGTCAAATTTTTCGCAAGTTTGTGGGAATGAATGCCACAGAACACAGATTCTCATCCGAGACTGGTAGGTACACAATTGTTTTCTAAGTGATGGATGTTAAGCGGAGCGCTGCGGGGGTTTGCGCGGATTTCATGTTGAGACTTGTCGAAACTTGTATAAACTGCGATTGACGACGCCGGTTTTGAAACAGCGGTTGACAGAATAAGTGTAAATGATATTTAATTTCAAATTTTATGCGTGTCAATTAAACATTACAACGGTAATTTGTTAATGTTGTTTGTTTACTTTTTTGATATTGCTTTCTAAAATGCAAACGCTTCCGCCCCCCTTGACATCTCTCTATGCCCCCCTTGGGAGG